AACCGTCACACGATGCGTATTGTCCAGCAGAAAGAAAAGTTCCATGTTGATAATTTTGATGAGAAAGTCGGCTGCGGATTGGTAAATTCGTTTTACCGACATGGAAAATTGTTCCCCTCAACAATTCGCGGACTTATAGTTGGCCCTTCGAATTGTGGTAAAACGAATGTTATGATATCCTTACTAACGAATGCTGATGGTCTACGTTATGCCAATGTCTACATTCATTCGAAATCAACATACCAACCGAAATATAAGTATCTACGTAAAGTACTCGAACCGATAAAAGGATTAGGATTCCACACATTCGATAATGATGAGGATATAATGGAACCATCCGAGGCTGAGCCAGATTCGATATTCATATTTGATGATGTCATGTGAGAGGAACAGGATGTTATTCGCTCATATTCCAGTATGGGCCGACATAAGAATATTGACTGTTTCTATCTAGCACAGACAGTCTCTAGAGTGCCAAATTAATTGATTCGTGATAATTTCAATTTCATAATCATGTTCAAACAAGATGTGATGAATATGCACCACATTTTTTCCGACCATGTATCGCCCGATATGGATTTCAAGCAATTTCAATATATGTGCTCACAATGTTGGGATAATCAATACGGCTTTCTAGTGATTGATAGAGATAGAGAAATAATGGATGGTCGATACAGAAAAGGGTTTGATAGCTTCATATACCCTTGATTCCCGAAGTGTGTACATTCGTTTAATCACTAGCCATAGTGCGAGCTTCATCGTTGTACTATACAAGTAGATATACTACCGCGTACCTGGGCCCAGTCCATCCAGTTCTCGAGTTCTTGCAGACAATAGGGGGGTCTAGTTGTGATTTGTGCAGACTTTTCCAGGTGCACAAGTGTCATCGACAATGACCAGAAGGTGTTGTCACCGGAGATTCACCTTCTCACATGTATTTTCACCTGTCTCACCTGTGTCACCGAATGAATTTGCGATTCACCTTGCCTATTTGTGGTTTGTGCAGACTTTTCCAGGTGCACAAGTGTCATCGACAATGACCAGAAGATGTTGTCACCGAAGATTCACTTTGACACCTGTCACCTATAGGTACATTTTACCTGTTTCACCTACTTTACTGATTCACAATTATATGTTCCAAATTCTAGTTCCACAGACCTCAATCACCCTATATACATGTTTGAAATATCAATTGGATATCGCAAGCTGACCCAGAGGTCAACAGTATCATGTATTTGGTGGTGCATAATATGTAATTCATAATAGATATCATGTTCCTATAATGAATATTTGAGAGATACATTGTTCTTCAACCTGGTAATTGTACTTTGATCTATAATTTTTTCCATCAAATGAAGTTATATCTCAAAAAGCATTCAATCATTACATACATGAAATTACGAGGATGTGGTCGCAAGTTTTTGATGATGAAAAAAGATTCTGTCAGGGGCATGTCGCTGCCTGTCATAGGCAGACCAGGCCAATACCCATTTTTCTCAGATATAATGTGGAAAATGAGTTGAAAATAACTGTTTTGGCAAGTGATATAGTTACAATAGAAGATGTGAATACTAAAAGACAAATTATGTTGTCTCATTGTGAATTCGAAGAGTTTTTGGATTTCATGGAAAAGCAAGATAGTGCCCTGAAAGTGTTTTGCGATTACGAATATACATTCGATGATTTAACATTGAATTATTGGTCAGTGGATGAAATGAATCATGTGATTCTCACGAAAAACAATATGGAACTTCGGGTTCATCTAGATGTTATCGAGAAAATCCAAGTGAATAAGTTACGTGATATGTTGATAAGTATGAAAGGAGCTGTTGGTGTCGATGTGAATCATTCTTGAAGAAGACTATTCCACTTGACAGCACAATTTTCAGGATGTATGTTTCATATACTTGTACGGGTTGTTGGAGAACCTCCAAATGCACCCTTATCAGTAATACGCTGGGTTGGGGAGTTATAAAAACTGAAATGATACGTTGTGAAACATGTGAACGTATAACAATATGGTTAATCAATGAGGAATGAAGATGATGATTGATGTCCTGAAGAAAGGAAACATGACATATCAATATTATGTTTGCATGTATTGATTCCCAAATGAATAAAGAATAAAAATATCCAAAGCGTAAAGAGATTTTTATTTATCATAAATAACATATATGGAAATAGCATTAATATCAATAATGACTTTCACAACGTCCCAGCTCCTGCAAGCAGCTAGAATAATTCCATTCCAAAGTAAGGTATGCAGAAGAATCCTTCTGATTGTTTGTTATTGAACTGCTAGGTGCGGGCGTAGATGACTTTCCGAATTTCAAATCTGCATATCTTGAGGCCCACAAATCAGCTTCTATCTTGAATCCAGAACTGAGTGTCATACATGCGGCTATATCCGATCTAATTTGGTTCAACTCTGTAGCTGTTTCATTCACCTTGATTTGCAGTTCTTGGCTACAGTTACTGAACTTTTGTTTGGTTTCGAATAACTCGTCAATCGTATTGTTCATTTCTTCTTGATAGTTTTCGATCTGATTTTTATACGATTTACAATTTACTGTAGGCGATGCTATCACTGCCCCACTGCCACCGATGTTATATTCCTGCATCAACCCTCCACCAGTGTACATAGAGTGATCTGATGAATTGAAACCTGGATATTTTGTAGGCTCGTTGTTGCTCTTGTTGTTGTTGTTGTTGTTGGATTGGAGCATTAATCCACTATTCTCCATAGACTGAATCGAATATACCTTGATATCAGGATACTTTGTTAACAGATTGCTGTAAGTGACTTGTAAAGTCGCCCTATTGGGTATCTCATGTTGGATGTATAGGGTACTGTTCTTTGGACTATATTCTGAGAATAATTTCTGAGGTGCTAATTCTGCTACATGCAACAGCAGTAGAATGATGAAAATTTTGATTGACATCACGCGTGTTGCCTGTTTGGAGATTATCAGTGGACTGATGCTGGATGGGTTGATGTTCACACACTGGATACTAGCGTTGTCGCTTGAATCTACTATGCATGTCCCTTTGGCGCTGTAGCCGATCTCTATACGCATTTTCATTTTCAGTCTGGAGACATGTATAGCATAACCCATATCCAGTGTAACTGGGGAACAGTTTACCACAATGGGTGCATTGGTATCTTGATGGTCCGTTGATGCCCGGTGGTGTACCTTCTCCATTGCCAGAGGAGCTGCTTATACTATTTTCTTGTATCAAATCATGGTTGTTGTTGTTGGCGGTACTCATGTTCACAGCGTCTGGATTGAAACAAAAGATGGAAAATATAATTTGATTGAAATACAAACTATGGAAAAATTCTAACCCCAGGGCAATGTATCAGTATGGAGATAATCAACTATCCTTTTATCATCATAGGGATTCAGAGCGCCTTCTTTCTGTTCAATTGTATGTACCTCATGTTTTTGAGACCTAATCAGATATTGATTGACTTTGGTAGTGGTATTATTGAATAGGCAATTATAATAATCTTCAAAAGTGATAGTTTTCAGTGCAGCTCTTTGAACACCTTTTAATTTTTTTGTGACACCTAAATTGCTCATAGCCTTCTCGATTTCTTGTTCATTAAGGTCTTGTTCTTCCAGCTCCTGTCTTTTTCGTTTCATATCTTGCTGCATTCCACTTTCACTTTCGAAGATTCTGAACGTATACATTTTAGATCTTAACCCAATGAATTCGGACATAATTCGTCCGGAAAGCTCGTCTTTCATAACTCCTACAACTTTTTCATTCCTCAACGGAATACCGTAGATGTTATCATGCTGATAATCAGAAGTGTCAAACCTATCTATGTCGGATTCAAGGTGTTCATAAATGTCGTTATCGATGAATTGATACAATAATGAATCTGTATCGGTGTATAATAATTTTGCATTATTCCCGAATTTGGGTTTTATATAAGAGTAATGGAAATCATAAAGGAATGTTTTTGAAATGTCTAACACACTGAATCCAACATAAATAGGTTTATTTAGTTTTACTTTCAACCTTTTCATTTCAATGATAACCATATCCTTATCAAATATAGTACAACTGTGGAAATTAGGTTGCGAGATATAGTAACTAGCTCCATATCTACCTGACCATTTTGTAACTAATTTAACATCTTTATATTTCCTAACATTCTCAATAGTCTTGCCAAAAACAGCGTTATTCATAAGTTTATAAAAATTTTTATCAAACTCATTTTTACACTTCTTTCTCAGTTCATTGTTCAAGTGAATGTATTTTTGTAACCAAGACGATTGTTTGAACTGCAATACTTTGTGAATTCTTTCGATTTTCATACCTAAGCTGAGAGCTTGTTTCAAATTTTTATAATGAATGATGTAGTTTTTCTTTTTGTAAAAAGTTGTAAGTAATTTTTTCAATCCGGATTTAGCACATGGTGGTTTCATGTGTTCAGGACAGAGAGGTAGATCTTTGTGACTTTCGAAGAGTTCACGGGGGTAATCAAGATCCACCTCAAGAATATAACCAAGATCATTGTCATTCGGAACATTCATTATATTGCCGATCGAATAAATATCTTCTACCCACTCGAATTCACTTGTGGGGAGAGGTAAGCTCATCGCAGCCCCATATAAACGAAACAAACAATGGCGTCGGGCGGTCAAGTCGATCACTCAGAGTGTATAAACGAAAACACGAATTATCCATTTATATGTTGCAAAAAAAAAGTGAATCCCGGCTATTATGTTTGTGAGCAGTGTTTCAGTTTTGTTCATAAATGTTGCAGAAGAAGTCTAAATGGTGCGAAGTTTTTAAGGGCACATGTAATAAAGTGTCGCACCTGTATAGCAAACAGCAACTTGGCAGAAACTGCCGAAAGTGTAACTGGAAATAACGAAGATGGTGACAATCTACTGGTTGAACTATTGAAGGATAATCAACAAAAATCCCAACATATTAAAAAACTAATTCACGATCACGATGCATTTTTAAATGATTCATTGTCAATGGAGACCGAATTAAATTCAATCTTGCAACAACAAACCCGTCGGATAGATGAACTTCAAAAACAGCTGCTAGAAAATACCGAGCAACAAAAAACTAGTAAAGAAGAAGGCACACAAACCATCACTGATAGTGAATTAAATTTTACCAGTGGCGTTACAAAAGAGATAATCTCATCTACGAAGGAAATACACTTCTTGAAACGTGAACTATTTGACCTTAAAGAAAACGAAATAAAAATAAAGCAAGAGTTATTGAAATATAAGCAAGACTACGACTGTATAAAAAATGAAGAAATTAAAATGGATCGCGTAATGGATGGTATGAAATCTACAATTGAATCGATTTCTTCAGAAAATAAGAAATATATCCAGAAGTTGGAGAAATTAAAACATAAATTATTTAAACTTGAAAAGATACTGAGGAAGGAAGCAAGAATGAAAAGTATCAATAAAGATAAGATCCTCAATAGGATGATGACTCTGAAGATGAAGTTACAACGCTCGACTCAGCAGGAGGAGAAACACCAATTCGTTTCAGAATTAATCGAGGAACATATCCCAAGTGATATCGGCTTAGAACCTTTCAATTCGAATGAAGAAAAAGGAAATTCTGAAAAACCAAAAGAACCTGCATCTGAGGCTGCTGAGAAGCGAAATGATCAGGTTCTCCAAAACGAGATAGCTGGTGAGCACTTACGTACTCAAAGTTTTAAAAGGAAAGTTTTAGTCTATGGTGATCAATATGGAGTTGGCTTCACCAAAGTTCTGAAAACCATCAGTAATGTTAATCTTTCATATACGGTAGATGAAAAAATTCTTCCTAGCACTGAGCTATGTGATTTGACAAAAAACATTTTTCTTGACACATTACAATTCGACGAAAACGATGTAGTTATCATTATGTTCAACACAAATAATGTGAGCAACAAAAAAACTTTGAATCTAGCTTTGAAAAATATATTAGGTATTAGTAGATTAATAAATATTGTGCTTTCAACTGAAATCAACACATCTGAAGATAATATACTTTCGAAAATACTCTGTAATAGGGTTGATGCATTTACAAAGAAGCACACAAATTGTTCACTTAGTCTCTACAAACAAAAAGGCAGTAAAGGTATAATCTACGACGAACTGGTAAATTATTTCTCATCTGTTAAGAAATCATGTAAGTTAGCTCTTAAGACACTACAAACAATAACATTACCATCTTCTATGGATGTCAACTATCAAAATCAGTCAATTAATGCAAACAGTAGTGTTTCTGTGAGTGAACCTTTGTCTTGTCGCAATTCTTCTTCTTCTTTTTTATTCATAGCTCAAAAAATGTCGCCCCTCACGTAAATTTCGATAACAATATATTACCTTCAGATAGTATCAGGCAGAGAACGATCTCTTTATTTTTGTTAAATATTAGATCTATAAGATATAAAATAGATGAATTTTCAGTACTCCTAGAAGATCACGATAATCCAGAATTCCTTGCGATAACTGAACACTGGCTGCATTGTCAAGAACCTTGCTACATTCGAAATTATATAATAGTATCAAAATACTGCAGACGAAACCATAATGCATATGGCGCAAATGGAGGCACAATGTTATTGGTTAGGAAAGATATTGCAGATGGTCTGGAATTTGTGAATGTTACAAAGTTTGATCTCCTCATTGTAGATGGAGTATTCGAATTCTCAGTTATTCACAATCAGTTGAATAATTTTTACATTGTTTGTGCTTACAGAGTACCCGGTTCTAATTTCACACTGTTTTTTGAAAATTTTGAAACACTCACGGCACAGTTACCCATAAATTCTAAAATAGTAATTGTTGGTGATCTGAATATTCATTTCGAACGTCCAGAATTGTCTGAAATTATCACCTTATGTAATCTTTTTTTTGTCTCTGTCTAGAAATGCATGTTAATACACCGACCAGGATAACGAGAGATACTAACGCAATCATTGATTACGTTCGCACCAACTTTGCAAATGATAATAAAAATTCTATTAATTGCACTGTAATCTCAACAGATTTATCTGATCATGAAGCAATACTCTCATGCTTTCCTTTAAATTTACGAACTCCGGTGAAATATAAATACGGCAGATTGTTTTCTGAAAAGAATTACATGCACTTCAGGCAACAATCCCAGAAAATGAATTGGATTAATCTGCTATCACATTCAGAACCCCTTGTAGCATTCCAACAAATAATGACATATCTTTTCAACAATTGCTTTCCTCTACAAAAAATTGAACAGAAATCAAAGAAACCTTGGGTAACATCAGCTATGAAGATTTCTTCTAGGAATATGAGGTGTCTAAATACAATTAAAAAATACAATATGAGCAATGGAAGTTTCCTAATGTATGTTAACAAGTATAGAGTAATTTACCAAAAAGTGGTCAGAGCAGCTAAAGACTTGTATTATAAATCAAGAATCGAAAGGGGGAAATGCAAAACTAAAGAAAACTGGGCAATAATAAACGAACTGAGAGGAAAAACGAATTCTTTACCCAGAGATATAAGTATTGATCCAAATGTATTAAACAAATACTACTGTACAATAGTGGACCAACTAACAGCAACCATATGTAAAGAAGTAGATCCCCTTGACTACCTCAAAGATGGGCGTATCGAGGAAAACTTCTATTTTTTTCCAACTAGCCACCTAGGAATACTCGAAACGTTTTCAGAAATGAAGAATAAACACTCTTGTGGTGTGGACGAACTTTCTCTCAAATTATTCGAGAATCTGCACGAGACTGCTTTACGTGTACTGGCAGAAGGGATAAATTTGTCATTTGCTAATGGCATATTTCCAGACTCCTTAAAAATTGCATTAGTTATTCCTTTACCAAAAGGTAGTGATTCGAATGAACCTTCAAATTACAGACCAATTGCTCTTCTTGCAACTATATCGAAAATAATAGAAAAGCTCGTCAAAAAGAGGATGATTTCCTTTTTAGAAAAACATAAAATATTATCTCCTTCCCAATTCGGTTTTCAGAAATCAAAAAATACCAACATGGCTATATTTGAATTTTTAGAAAGGGTTTATCTGTGTTTGAATGATAGAGAAGCTGCAGCAGCAGTATTCTGTGACTTCTCAAAAGCATTTGACTGTGTCGATCACGGAATACTGCTAGCCAAGCTGAATCATTACGGATTCAGGGGTCTTGTTAATGACTGGTTTGCTTCATACCTCACTGGTAGAAAACAATTTGTGAAAATCGATGGGGTGAAATCCTCTTCATTGAATATACATTGTGGGGTACCTCAAGGGTCAGTATTGGGTCCTGTTCTGTTTCTCCTTTATATAAATGATATTTCTAGTCTTCCTATACAAGGAAAATTTACTATATTTGCAGACGATACCACCATTTTATGGCACAGTAGAAATGTAAATGAATTGAAGGCAGCGATCACCAGAGATTTGAAAATAGTTAAACTTTGGTGCGACTCAAATCACTTATGTTTTAACGCTAACAAAACCAATATTCTTACCATTAGATTCGATTTTGACGACTTACAACTAGAGGATCAGAATATAGAAAATAAACCACACTGTAAATTCTTAGGTCTTTCGATTGACAATAGACTCAAATTTGAAGAGCACGTAAAAAACCTCAATAGAAAGCTATCTTCTAGCTGTTATGCTATCCGAGTTATTTCTAATGAGCTTGGGCCATCTTCAGCGAAAATGGCATATTTCTCTTTATTCGAATCGCATATTACGTACGGTATTGCTTACTGGGGTTTTTGCACAGATCAATTATTGAACTCAGTGTTCGTTCTACAGAAGAGAGCTGTTCGGTACCTATGTAAGGCTGCGAACCGGGCACACTGTAAACAACTCTTCATCCAACATAGAATTCAGACAGTGTACAATATCTTGATTATAGAGTCTGCGTGCCTTATTCACAAAAAGTACGGGTCGAGTATCTCAGCTCCAGAAATTGTTCATAACACCAGACAAAAAAATAATCTACAATTACCCATTTCTTTGTATACATTGACAAAAAATTCGCTTATATATGAAAGCAAAAAAATTTACAATCATCTTTCACAAGAGATACGTGAAGTTTCGAATCTTAAAGCCTTTAGGCATAAGCTGAAGGAGCTACTGGTAATAAAAGCGTACTATAGTATTTCAGAATATTACAATGATACCTTCTGATATTTTATATATTTTCATGTGGAAACTATTATAGTATTATGTTCATGTTTTTGTTGGTGTAGTTTGTAAAATATCGTCTGTTTGTTTGTTTGTTTGTTTTCATATATATATAGTGACGAGATAATTTATTACAATATAATATATTATGTTTATTTTTCACATTATTGTTATTATCATCAATGTTATTATAAGTATTACCATTTTATATGACGAATTATGAATATCATTATGAATAATTATTTTTGAATTGTAACCTGCTTTGTCAATGAGTTAACACTTTGGACAATAAAGCTTATTTGATTGATTGATTGATTGATAAATTATTCACATCAAAATACATCAGATATGATGAAGGACTTTGCTGATCATATTCGTTTCCCATATATTTGTTGTTTGCTTTCGCATAACGATGCGAGCACTGCGATACGCCCCCTCTGACCCCTTTTTCTATAAACATTATCATATCAATATCTGTTAAGAGTTCCAATTCTACTTGTTTAATTTTGAGCATGCTATCAAAAGCTAACCCAGGTGCTGTATAGTAGTGCAAACTATCGAGTTGATAGGTATTCATACAGGTTGTCCTGAAATTTTCAAATATGTCTGCCAGTAGTAAAATATCAGTTTTCAAATACAATTCAACATATTCTTTTAATGTTTTGATCCCAAACGTACGCCAAACCATGTTCGCATGTTCATAATCCTTTTTTGACACCCCATTACCTGTTAATTTGTCATAAAATTGTTTCTTTATTGGTAAACTAGTTTCTGCTAATTTTTCCCAAGAGTCTAAATAGTCATAAGGACAAATACCTTTACGTGTGAGCAAACTGAATTCTGCTTCATTATGGCAGTATCGTTTTGTGATCGTTTTTTGATCATTTGTTGAGTATAAGGAAAAGGTATCCAAAGTGCTAGCCATGAATCTGAAGGAGTCGAGAAATCTCAAATTAATTCTCGTCCCATCGATATATTTAGTGGAAGAAATATATTTTTCTTCGTTCACAGGCAATATAGACACCTCACCCTCGATTTCAGTAATCAAATTCTCTATGAGGAAGTGGCTATCATATCCAGACATATTATGAAAAATTACAGGTACCGTATGGCTATCTTGATAACCTATATTACAATGATTATGTGCGGCCCCTCTGTATTCGCCTGTGAGGTGTGAATAGTGTCTGATTTTTCGATCGTCAATAGTGAAAGATTTCAAACAAATATGACAGCATGAAGCCTTTTGAAAATTATAGAATTGCTCCTGTGTCAAAGGTTTCATCGGTTTCGGATTGCTCAAAATTCCATCGATTTGAAAAGCTAAAGCCTTCAGTTGTTTGACAAACCAGGATATACAATCCCTACCGGTATAATAATCGAATTTACAAAGAAAATTATCATATAAACAAACAAGCATGTAACCAATAGTGAACGGTACATGTTTTTGAGATTTCCTAGTCTTGATCATAGATTGCCCATCACACTTCTCCAACAGACACTCTAAATCA